ATTTTCTTTGACTGTTAGTTGAAGTATGTCATATCTCAGATATCTCTCAAGGATTGGCCCCTGGAAGGCACTTAAAACACAGGTCAAAACAAGATGACACAGCACTTTCAGCTGACTGGTCCAGAAGGGGATTGTATTATTTGTGGGTGGATGACATTTTTACTGCAGTCTTATTCCTCCCTGTTCCTCTCTCGTTCACTCATTCTTGTGCTGCTGTATCTTTTATTATGCTTCCGTCTCTGTCTCTGTCTTTGTCTGTCTATACAGTTTGTTTATTTTTATCTCTCCTTGTCTCTGCCTCCCTTTTTTCTATTTTATTCTGCAACAAGATGACCTTTTTAAGTGAACCAGTGCTCCAATACCATCAGCTAAATTAGGAATCACACATCACACTCTGATGACCTCCTGCCTATCACACACACACACACACACACCTACACACTCTCACACATCATGTACACACACACAGCACGTTTTGTGAAGCCAGGGTAGCAATTTACAGCAGAGAGAGAGCCTGGAGAGGAGGTTTCTGAAGCCACTAAACACTGGTTAACAACCAGGCTTTCCGTGTCAGGACAGCTAACCAGGGCAGAGACAGCCGAACAAGATGGTACGGGATAGTGGTGGTGTGTGTGTGTGTGTCTTTGATACTACCTGGTCTACATCTGATGTCTCCATTATCATAGCAACATTGTTCTATTACATGAGCTTGAAATCAAAATAGGGCAGACACAGTTCAGCTCTGTCAATTATTGTACAGCTGAGTTTAGTCGGGGTTCTTCTGTGTTTGTGGGCTCACACACACGTATTTTTAAAAGTTACATTCTGAAAACTACATCTGTGGTCTCCAGAGGATTTGAAAACACATATACAAATCATACACAGATACAACATATAATGAAATGTGTCCTTGTGCATTTAAACCCATTATAAAGTACTAGGAGCAGTGAGCAGCCACTGTACAGCATCCAGGGACCTATTACAGATACAGCCTGTGCCTTGGTCACGGGCACTGACTGTAGAAATTAACCTAATATACACATTTTTATGGTGTGTGGGGGTACACCAGAGCAGCCAGTGGAGCAAACACTGGGAGAACATGCAGGTCCACACAGAAAGGCCCCAGCTGGAAATCCAACCCAGGATCTTCTTGCTGTGACAACAGCACTGACAGTTGAGCCACCATGCTCCCAAATAATAATAAATAACGCTATTTATAAAGCATTTTTCAAGTGTTTAGTAAAGATATAGAGAAGAAAACATCCAAACATATGAAATATAAAAATATGAATATAAAAAGAGAAAGTAAACAGATGATACTAAAATAAGCACAAATAAAACATTGTTAAGTGTAGACCATGTTGTAACGGTGGGTCTTCAGGAGGCAGCTGCAGTGGAGTCTGACGATGTCACACTGAGGGGAAGGCGAGGAGCCATAACTGTTTTCAGTCTGCTCAGTGAAACGGCTAAAAGGTATTGACCAGCTGATCTTAGGGGTCTGGTCAGGCTGTACGGTGTGTTTGATATAGTCTGGAGCCAGACCATGGATGGCCCTGTAGGTAATTATTTCTTTTTTTTTATGTATTAAGTGGTAACGGGCACCCAGAGCAGTGATGCTATTGGAGTGATATGACAGGGCCTCTTAGATTTAGATAATAATCAAGGTAAAGTGATAAACAAATACTTTCAATACTAATGAAATCAGCCTACTCTGTGTTTAGTGCGAGTGCTAGGAAATGTTAGCATGACAACAAACTAAGGTTACTAAACTAGTGTTAACATGGTAAACATGAAACTCAAAACTTTATTGTTGTTGTATTGTGATTGTGAGCATGATAGCATGGCTCCAAGCACCGTTATGTCAAAGTAGCTACAGCCTCAAAGAACTGCCAGCACGAATGTAAACGTATAATATCTGCCTCTGAAAGGTTGTGAAGAGTTTTAACCAAACTGTGTGTTTATGGCTCAGGGCAGACAGATAATTGAGCGAGCTCCCTGGAGGAAGGGTCAGCACCTCTTGAACCACTCCTGTCAAATGCATGGCTAACCACACTTACTCTATTTCTCCTTAGCACTATTGTTCTCATTTCTTCCTGTCTTTATAGGTCTCTCTCAGACGCTCTGTCTCTCCGACACCCTCTTTGTCTCTTTCCAAAAATACATTCACACTTGAATAGCAGAGGAAGGTGCTCCCCTGTGTTTTATTATGTGATGTTTGACCCTAAAAGGTCTTTTGACAGGCGCAGCAGAATACATCTCGACAGGAGAAGCAGCTGAAATGTTGCCAAAAAGACAGCAGGGTTATTATGCATGATGGCACAGGGAGACTTTCACTCTTAACCACCGGAGGCTGCGCTTTCAGAGCACAGATAGGACATATATCTTCACTAACACACACACTAACACACCACACACACACACCAACACACACACAAACAGACGTGCTGGCACCTAAGTTAATACTGTATGCACATTTTCTGCAACTGAGGGAACACAAATAGGATCCTAACGCATACACGCACGTACAGCAGTGTACACAAGAATGTTTTCATACATGAAAAAACAACCAAGCACCAGTAGACACACACACACACACAGAAATACACACACACACAAACACAAAAATGCACACACGTCTAACCTAAAATAGATTGCCTCTGCCTCTGCTCTTCGTCTCCTCACTGAAACATGTAGTAGAATATGAATGAAATCCCTCCAGTGTGCAGGTTTCTCTCAGTAGACTGCTGCAGTGCCAGCTACACTTTGTTAATTCAACATTTTCTTCTTCTACACTCATAATTTCCATAAAATATTTCCCCAGTCACTTGAAACACAAAGACTTTATGACATAAAATCCCTAATTACTTCCACATTTGAGTAAGAATACTGTGTGTAGTGTGTTACAGTGTGTAAAGATACAGTAGGAGAACCTACAGTAGTGTCGAGCAAATAGTTTCACTCCAGTTAGAGATATCGAGCACCGCAAAAAGTGAGGCTCACTTTTACACTTAGTAAAGGCAGCCACGGAGCTACAAGGTGTCTGTGGGTCCACACACGCTGCAGAGCCACTGATTGGCTTTTCAGAGACCTGGGGTGATAGCGGCGCCTTACATCTGTTGTTTAGCTTAATTCAGTGGAAAATTAAAACTAATCTGAAAATAGCGAAGCTGAGCGAACCAAAGATTCTTCATGATAAACTGAGAATTAGTGCACCTGAGAGGGACAATTGTTCAGCAGTATAAGCTCTGCACAGTGACTGTCGGGGCAATGACTGGTGCTCATTAAGTGAGGGGGCATTACTGTAAATGAAACATCATGAAATGAGTGGTAACACAAACATAAATGAGTGTGTCATTATACTTAAGTTATAATCAATACCTTAGCACACAAAGTACTACATCTCACAGAATACTTTACTCCAACTACAATGATTTAACACTCAATAACAGTTACAATACAGAAAAGTACATTTTGAATTGGTGCTGTCCAAACTCCAGCTTTAAACTTCAGTAATAATTAGCTGTAATATATCTGTTGTCATTATCGGTGGTCTCCAAATGACACATTAGAGAACACATTGCATCTACTATTTATAGTTCGGTAGTCATTTATGTTCAGGTTAATTTCTCTGGATCTGGATTTGGTCCCTGTGGCGTTGTACAGTGTCTACCCACTGTGTCAGGAATGGTGACCAGGAC